TACGACAAGAACAGCTAGTGATGTCATAATGGTTGTGCGGTTCTCATCTCTTCTAATGACTGCGGACCCTCCCAGCGCTGAGGTATCATCTTCTTTTTGAATGGATCAAATGTCTTTCGTTTTGTTGTTTTCGTGTTTTACTTAGTATGCATGATGTGCATTTGCAGTTTCTCAAAATTTATTATTTTAAGGTGCAAGTCGAAATTTGTTGGGAGGATGTCATCGAGTACCACGTTGTAGACGGAGGAAGGGCATTTCAGTTCAGCTTTAAGAGAGAGGGAAAACGAGCGAAGCCAATAAAATTGTTCAGTAATTATGTAAGTTTCCCTGGTGATTTGAATTAGAGTAGTTGAGACTGCGAGTCGGGATCAGTGCAGAGTCACTAAATTTGATCATTTTCCATTGGTTGTTTGGCTTTTGAGAGATAAGATGCACTGGGGTATCTTCAGGTATTTACTTATTTATTTATTTATTATTACTATCAGTTCATCGTTGTAACAAGGTGGCTCGTACAATAAAACTCAAGTACCGATAGAACGAGAACATTGAAGGAACGAAAGAAAAATTTCATACAATGAACATTTGAGCATCACATGTATTCAAAATAGTCGTAGTGTGAGCAAGTTGGATAAAAAAAAATCCATTATCATTAGGTAGCTATCCATTTTTTCCTAAAAGTTCGGTTTGAAATCCAAATGGATTCAAGGGAATTGTCAAGTCTAGTGTGTGTTTGGCTGACCTCCATGGTACCTGTAGCTCTGTACACGATGCACACTGGAAAGCTATTATAAAAAGTTTCCTCTGCTGGAAAGCAGAGTTTCATGTTTTGTTTTTGTTGAATTCCAGCTGACCTTCCAGTCACCATCTCTAACTCCGAATCGGCCTCGTTTAGCTGGCTCAACTAAAATCGCACTTTCGGGAGGTTGATGGAAAATGAAAAGAAGAGTTTTTGTGCGCATTTTACCCCAAAAAAGTGCGTAAAGCCCTAGTATGGGATGCCGGTGCATGTGGTTTAGCGCGCCGTCCCTGTCCCCCAAGCATAGGATAGCATCAGCGACGGGAGCGCGTCTCTCTGGATAGGAGACGACCCCAGGGGTAATTCTCCATTCATACGCCATCATCTTGTATTGACGCTCTTCACACTTTTCACGCAATGTTCACACCTGTCTGCTTGTTCCGCATAGTCGCAAAGTATGGAACAACTTCACCCATAAATGGGTCAAACTCCACAGTACTGTTCTCGCGGCTCCTCGGGAGGGATGATATAGGCGCGGGTGTTGTCATTTGTGCCGTAATAGGCTTCTCATTCAATGGAATGACACGAGGCGAGTTGCATGCTTTTCGTTTCTTAAGGTTTTCGTCTGCTCTGTCGTAGTTGCGTCCAATGACCTCGTCCTCCTACTTTGGCCGTAAAGGGGTCTTCATTTTGAATCTGTAAAGCGGTTTTTCCCTTCCTTCTGCACTAGTAGTCGCCCCTTACAATCATTCAATTGGAACATCACACATAGACCATTGCGGGATGTGCTTAATGCTAAGAAATATAATCAGAAATGGAATAAACAGAAAAAAGATTTGAAATGAAAGGAAGGGGTAAGTGGTGAGTCGATCAACGCGAACGTCAAACAACTGGTGTAATCTTACATTGAATTCTGCTCTCCTGTTTTTTTTATATTCATGTTTGTTTACAGATTTTAATCTGTTATCTGGCCTTGTTTCATCGATCAGTATAATCCTCCCTGAATACCCTACGAGCTTTCTTATGCAGTAATGATTATAGGCAGACTACATGGCGGAGTGTTTTGCCCAAGTTCTTTTCGAACGGCAGGTGGCTAGCAATTGGAAATCACGAGTTATTACTAATTCCGTAGAATCTACTTCTGATAGCCAAACAGAGGTCGCTGCCTCGTGAATGCGTTCCGTTTCTTGTTTGTTTCTTAGCTAATTTATTCATGGGCATATGGAGCTTATAGCTCTAATCCGGTATCAATAGAGGACGGCGCTTCCTCTGTTCTCATCACGCTTTAACATTGATCTTTTACCAAGTTACATTTGTACACATCATGCTGTGGGCATTTCGCAGTACTGTTGCCTATGTTTCATTTCCACGAAGCTATTTTGAATTTACTTCACATCGTTTTAATATTCCACTTTCTGAAATTTCCGTAACAACCAGTTACTTGTGTATTTTTTTTACATTAGTTGTGTATCTAAAATGGAGATGTCATCAATGCACATGACATCATTTGCAGCCATAATTACAATGTTTTTGTTTTCACGCTGACATATTTATTTTTTGTTGCATATTTACAGTTCATCAGTGATTTTATGAACGTTGTGAGTTATTATAGTCTAGCATGCCAGTTTGGTTTTCTTAGGCATACTGCACCACATATATGTAAAGAGTTTTCTACACAGTATCTTCTGTCCCATGATCACTTGTTGGAAGGGCTCCGACTCGTAATTGTTATTTGTTGTAGCTTCTAGTGTATACGGTTCATAACATTTGATTGAGTCGTTATGTGCAAATGGTCACTCGGTTTTCTCTTATGTTCGTGTTCATTTGAAGAGTTTATGTGCTGCCTGTAGGCATCAGCATGTATAACATTGCCGAATCTGTTACAATAAATCGTTAGTGTCTAAAGTGAGAGCTTTTTCGGACCTGTCGTATTGCCAGCACAAATACTTCCCGTTTTAAGCACTTGCAAGTGCTTTATTCGTGTACTTGATCTCTTCTTACTTTCATTACTGCTAGACGCCCACTGGTTCTAATGCAGGAAGCGTGACATTCTATTTTTTTCTCAACTACCTTGTGAAGAAATTCGAATGCCAAGCCTTTTTGTAGGTAAATTTCCTCCGTTTTGGACCTTTTCACGCTGCAATATTTTGTGGGGGTGGGTATTTAGAGCAGGGGACACTTTCGCTTTTCGTAGCGATGCGAGAACCTCAGGTCCACCCCTGATCAAGTTCTTTCGCACTGAAACGGAGTACGTCTCGCTGTTGTATTCATTTTCAGACAGGAACAATTTTTTCGCAACGGTGAAAATTTTACAGCAGTGTGTAAACCACTATGCAGTGGCGAATTCGTGAGCGCAGAATTCGTCAAAACTGTTGAATGCGAACTGGTTTTTCTAGATTGCAAAGCTTGCCTGCTTTTTCCTTTCCCTTGAAATAGAAACGCTAAACTGGAAAAAGTAAAGGTCCACATAGCTCACCATTGACTTTTCATTTTTCCTATCGATAGATTCATATTATGATTTTGGTACCATCCTTGGCTTGAAATTTCAGGTGGAACACATCGAAATTCGAACGTATCCAAAAGCATGTTCGATTAGTTTCATCTTTGATTGTAACAGATGCTGTAGCAGTCATTTGAGCCAAGGTAAGGTCTTGTTCTAAGCATTGCTCTTTTTGGAGTTAGCAAGCGATGATGCTTGGGCGACATGGTCAGCCCTTCTCCGCCTTTGTTACGAAAATATGAGCCGCTTTGTACGGGATTGCATGTGGAGCGCGTAATTACGGCGTGCTGTTGCAGGTCCACCCTGAGCGCAATAGTAGCAAACTAATCCGCTCTGTGGTCATGACATTGACTTCCCGCTTATTACAGTTGTCCACCATGGTACCATTTCGTTTGTACCTTGTTGATGAAGTGTTGCTGCAATTCTTTCAAATCCACACGGGAAGACAAATTTGATTCTTCGTTAGATTGTGTATCTTATGATTAAGTGCATATGTTGGAACTATTCATAATGACTAGGGCACTATTCACATTTTTCGAATCATCCTAATATTCGAATTCGCGAAAAGAATTATATACGTATCGACCACGAAAATCTGCGCACGCGCGAACGTGGAAGCGAAACAGTCTAGATGCGTATCGACGTCAACTCCGCCCTCTCACCGTTTCACGTCGGGGTATCGAAAGCGCGAGAACGATGTACCGCCTCCAATTTACCTGATCGATAGACATACTTATATTTCAAAAGGATTCGCAGAATCGAATGCGTGATTCGACCCCCCTTCTAAGTTGCGAATCGGCCCCTCCCATTTTGCGGATCGATACGCATTTGATCCTTTCGCAAATCCGCGCATTCGATCGTTTCGCGCGTTCTTCTGCCATGGCGCAAGCTGTGAACAGTGCCTTAGGCACGTTTACAATTCACTTTGCCTAAGGCACTGTTCACTATCAAAGTGAATTTGAACTCACATAGCCTCTTTTCGGGCGAAACGGTGGGGTTGAAGCCGCCCTTCATGAAACCCTGTCCAGCTAGCGCCACAGCTAAATTTTAACGGACGAAATTTTCTCGAACGTCCTTCTATTTCAAATTGATGGCTTAATTCCACCATACCTCTCGGGTCGTGAGGTTATTTACTGATATCGCAAGATGACTGTATTACGGGCTAAATATGGTGTTTTAAAGGTAGAGTTTACGATTAGAAGGGAGTCCATTTGGATTAAGGTAGAGCTAGTAAGTGGTGCCTGGATGAAGAAAAAACGGAGAGACTGCTCAGAACCCGTTAGATGGAATCCCTTCCTTGCCTGTTGGTTTCCGCATTGAGGTGACTCGCCTTCTTCAACACTAACGCACTCTTTGGTAAGAGAGTTGCGGCGAGAGGTTAGCGAGTCGGTGGGCGTGCCGCGTCGGTAGCGCTGCCAGGATGCTATGCTAGATCGCCTTGATATCCTTCGCTTTGGATCGCGTGTCGGTCCGCACCATTACGGCATGCGCCCGTCTTTCCACTAAGCAAGTTTTCTCTTCTTCTGCCTTCGACTTTATCGTGAAGTGAAATCCTTGAAATGAATGGCATGAGGCTCCAGGTGAAATTCGAGCCGAAACCATATTATGTCTGGGCGAGTGTGCCAAACATTACACCCCGAAGCCTCATGTCACCTTATCTCACCATCATTAATAGACTTTCCAATGATAAGAGATCCAGCGTTGGTATCATTTTTTCATGGTTTTTGTTTGAGATATCCTTCAAATGCGCACTGTTGCATAAGAATGGATGATTCTGCAATGGACTGTTCCGCTCCTTCGTCCACTGACGGAGGAAAAGGCAGATTGCTCGATTCCAAAATGAATGAAGAAGAAAGTCAGTCTCCTGGAAAAGTTACATCTAAAACTGACTCACAATCCACTGAAGGTGCCTGCTTTTTGCTGCTCTGTTTTTTTTTTGTTGCTGTGTATTACTATAGTTCAGTAAAGTGACTAGGCTTTGGACCATTAATTACAACATTTCATTGCATATCATACGAAATCAACATCATTTAAAAATTGATAATGAGAAGCCCTTTAGAAGCTCTCGATCCTGATGCAGCCGGTTTTACTGGTTCGAATGAGCTCACCATGGATCCCAACGTGGCAGAAGACTTCACTGATGAGGTTTGCTTTCTGAAATTGTTTTTTGTTTCAACAAACAATATCATGAAGTGTTGTAATTTTGTCTGACAATGTTTATTTAGCACGAGAAAAGATTGCAGTGCCGTGACGCTGGTCTCTATTTCCGAAATCGATCAGAATCTCCCGATGTGTTCCATGCCTCAGCTCGCCCGTCTAATCTCAAGTCTTCCTATGATAATTCTACCGATGGACAACCTCATAACGAAACTGCACCTACAAGTCCAACCAACCGGTACATTTTTTGAAAGTTGCTTTCTTTTTCTAGTTCTGTAAAAAGTATGATCTGGAAGAATTTCTGTGTAGATCATACGAACATAATCGGTTTTGCATGTCTACTTGAACTCCCTTCCTGGAAGAACCTCTCAGAGGGCAATTCTTGTCAAAACATGAGCCAAATGACAATTGTTCAATCTCGGAAGGCTATTACTAGAATATTCGCGACCATTGTTTTCAGAACTAATAAAGTTGTGTAGATTCTTCTAGTACGAAAAATCAATGCATTTGAAATTTTAAGGAAAGTGCGATAAACTGAGCATCTCAGTGCTAATCGGTCATATGATCAGCAGCACAAAGCAACAATCAGGATCAGTCTGGTGGGGTAATAGCGTTCGATAAGGGAGATGGGAGTGCGAGGTAGACTGAAAATGAATAAAACAAAAGAAAGCGCCGACGATGCTCTTAACATGGACATGTTCTCTTTCAACTTTTCGCCTTATAATGATGAAAGTGAGTGGCTGGACGCGACAACAGCGTGGGTTCTGAACAACCATATCGATTTCTCTCTTCGGTTTTACATCTCATCTTGAAGTGATTTTAGTCGCTACTTCGCATTCACGTTGCCTATAGGCAGAGCGCAAGGAATCTTGTTCATTTGGTCACATTGCTCACGAATTTTTCAGACTTGCCCAATCTGTAAGGCTTCAACACAACACATCCGTAACCCTCGTTGACAGATCTATCCTGCTTACAGGATAAATAGATGCACATGTGCTATCCTGTGTTTCAGTATTCTTCCTTTGGCGTTCTTTCGAGCATCATCTAGTGTTTTTTTCAAGGGCGAAATTAAAGAGAACCCGAGTTGTTGTTTTGCTTTTGGACTAGCGTTGGCATAGATTGTTCAATGTTACATTGCACAAGCTATGCCAAAAATCTTAACGGTACCTCATGAATGCAATCGCCTCCGCTGCATTTTATAGGATGTGGTCACGGAAATTCCTATGGAGACGATCAGGTAATATAGTGGATTGGGTAGGGGGTCTACCCAATGAGCGATAGGTGACGCTTCTCCAGGGGCAGTGGCGTGATAAGGCGCCGAAACCCACTTCCGGTTCGGCGTTGCACCTCCTTATCAGACGTGGAAGGGGATGCAGTAGCAGCGTGCTAGATATGATACGGTTATCGTTATCGTTCGATTTTCATGCTGGAGTGCACCTCATTCCAAGCAGCCGTATCTTCTTATCTAATCGTATCGTATCTTCCATAGGGTTACGCTCGTCCAACCACTATCTATCTCCGACCTTATCGGTTGATAACGCGGAGTTCGCCGATCCACGTGGAAGCCAGCGTCCTCACTTTAATCTGTCTTCGCAGATAATCTAAAAAGTAGTAGACTCCCAACTGCTCTTCTATCTCCTCCATTACCGTCTATTTTTTGTCTAGAGCTAAGTTTCTGTACGCTTCCCGGTATTTACAAAGATTCTTGTAGGTTCGAACATACGTATGAAATCGAGGATTCTCGTGATGAAGTTCGCAGTGAGAGTGGAGGTGTTCGGTCGAGAGGACGTGGCACTCGTGGGAGAGGTAGAGGTGGAACCAGGCCATGTAGTGGTAGCGCTACTCCACTTAACAACAGTCCAATGGTCAATAACGACAAGAAACGTTCTGGGTAAGTGTAAGCCAGCTTCAGCTTCAGTGAGCCCATTTTTATGGAGCTGTCTCTGCGAAGTATAATCCACCATTTCTTAAGACGTGGCCGTGGCAGCAAACGTGGCAGAGGATATGGTTTAGCACGCATCGGTGACGTACTTGAGTCCGAAGCGGGTAGCACAGTAACAACTCCGACAGCTGATGACGTTTACGAGTTCAAGAGCAGTCCGGAAAGCGAATTCATTCCAGTGAGTGTTTCGGCTATCTGTAGATCATAGCGGATGGTCGAGTTTGGTTTGATTCAGAATCACCCTGAATTCGGAAATCATGAGGATAGAGAGCGATCAGCACCTCCAAGTGCAAAGAGGCAGCGCTTAACTGATGCTCGTCCCGAAAGTCATGGTGGAAGCGCGCATTCAGGTATCTTTCGCAAGTGATAATTTTTTTTAATTTTTCACCAACAACGCGTTCTGTGCGACCTTCCAAACATATTCATTTATAAGTACATCGTCACTATCAATTTCTCTTTTCTCCATTGTTGCATGTGAATGCCCTTTTACCACGCTGTCAATTCAGGAGATATCGAAATGGATGATATTGATGAAGATGACATGAATTCGAAACCAGGTGTTAGTGATCGCAAGGTTAGTTATTGTGCTTAGGTTTTCATATAATTGACTCGTAGTAAACACAATCCTCTCCTAAAAAGCACATTTACGCTGACGCTCGAACCGTGATATTTCATGTTCAAAATTGTTTGTGAGGGTTTATGAACGATTATGTGGATAGTTTCACATCTTCTTAAGCTGCGTTCATACTCAGCCTTTGGCATTATTTATTTATTTATTTATTTATTTATTGCACGCTTAGGTGCGCTATGTTAATTCACATCTTAACCCGTCCCATGCGGCCCGCGATGTGTTATGCGATACTTGATCATGCTCTCGTCAGTGTTAGTATAAGAGCTTGAAAGAGTATATGCATGAGATGTTTGCGTTTCTCGAGCTTCATAGATAGGATCAAAAACAAAAACGTTCGGCGTCGATCAATCCCTCTTTCTGATGGGTCACGCTTTCTACTTTTATTTAGAATC